TCGATGTTTCTCTCTCATCGATGTTTCTAAATCTCTATCCCTCTCCCTTCCTCTCTGTAAAAAATCAATAAAATATATAAAAATAAATAAATAAATATTTCCCCCCATATATATGGTTGTTGTTTTTTTTTGTTTTTTTAAAGGTAGATAGTATCAAACAACCAAGACTGTATACTCTTACCAAAAGTACTGGAAATAACATTTTAAATCTGTAGAAAGGATATGTTCAGTTTTTGTTTTTTTGCTTTTAATGTCAGAAAATCTATATTTTTTTTATCATGGAAAAGTCCATGATTAGCTTCTTTACCATGTTGGTATACATTTTTGTTACATACACATTCTACTTAGGAACAAACAGACATATCAACGTATCAGCAGAAGATTATATCTCAAAATTTCTAAGCATCTTTAATAGGCTGTTTATCACTAAAAATATAAAGTTAATAATATAATGGAAACTGCTGTCAAAGAAATGGGAATAAATGGACATGTAATGAGCTGGTAGGTATATTTAAAAATGGTAAAAGTCCAAACACATATACAACTATGCTTAAACATGGCAGACATCTCCCAAAACGTTGGATGTCTTTAAGTGGTGGTAACTTTGGGTGATTTTCAAAGAGCAGCTAGCTTTAATTTTTAATAATTAAAGAAAACAATGGGAAAAAAAGGTCTGATTGCAAATAATATGTACAACCAGAGTTCCATTGCGTCCAAAGCACTGAGTAGTATATAGAATAAAATAAAACCTAGACAAAAATTTCATATAAACAAATAAATATCGCTTATAAATAAACTAGAGTGCCTAACCCACATATTTAGCTACATCAACCTAAATACTCTACACACTTATGAGAACAAGAATCACCTTTTCAGTTGATAAGAGAAAAACAGGAGTCCAGATTTAGTTGCATTTTAATTGTTTCTCAAAGCTGAAGAATCCCTTCTGCCAAAGTTGGATATTAGCCATCAAGTATATTAGTTCCAAATAAGAATTATTACAGCATAATAGTTGTTTTGAAATCCATAAGCAAAGAACAAAACAAGATGTGATCAGATACTTATCCAACTTGATCAGTGAAGATTTAGGAACTGTCCTGGATCTTCTTTACTTATAATAACCATAAAACTAAACGGAAATGTAGGAAATATAGGTCATCATCCCTTTCCATGCCTATTTGCTTCCTCATATGTAACCAATTTTTTTGTTAATTGGTTTTTTGTTGTTAATCCTCACCTGAGGATAGTTTCCTTCCCACTGATTTTTAGAGAGTGGAAGGGAAGGGGAGGGTGGGGGAGAGAGAAAAACAACAATGTGAGAGACACATTGATTGGTTGCCTCCCACATGCAACCCAGGTACATGCCCTTGACCGGAAATTGAACCTGCAACCCTTCAGTGCAAGGACCAACGCTCTACCCACAGAGCCACATGGGCAAAGGGCTATAACCACTTTTTTAAAAATGTTTATTTCTATATAGTACACACTATCTCTTATTTATTTATATTTTTAAAATATATTTTATTGATTTCTTACAGGGAGGAAGGGAGAGGAACACAGAGTTTAGAAACATCGATGAGAGAGAAACATCGATCAGCTGCCGCCTGCACATTCCCTACTGGGTATGTGCCTGCAACCAAGGTACATGCCCTTGACCAGAATCGAACCTGGGCCCTTGAGTCCGCAGGCCGATGCTCTGTCCATTGAGCCAAACCAATTAGGGCACTCTCTCTCTCTCTCTCTCTCTCTTTCTTTTTTTTGCACTATCTCTTTTTTAAAGAAATCCTAATTATCTGAGATTTTTCTTTTTTTTAAAAAAAAATCCTCACCCAAGGATATGTTTTTTTTAAGGATATGTTTTTATTGCTTTTTTAGAGAAGAAGGGAGGGGGCTGGGAGAGGGGGAGAGAGGGAGAGAGGGAGAGAGAGAGAAACACTGACATAAGAAACAGTGATTGGTTGCCTCCCATACTCGCCCTGTCCAGGGATAGAACCCAAAACCTAGGTATATGCCCTGACCCTGACCAGGAATCGAACCCCAATCGTTTGGTGTATGGGATGATGCTCCGACCAACTGAACCACCTGGCCAGGGCTGAGATTTTGTTTTTTCACTGTGTCATAAAGATCTTTCTAAGAGAGCCTACCTCATGAGAGCAAATAGTTTAGGAGAGAATAGTTACAAAATATATGTAAGATTCACAATACGGGGATGGGCAAAAGTATGTTTACAGTTGTTCATGTGGAAAAAGACATGGAGCCCGGCAAGCGTGGCTTGGTGGTTGAGTGTCGACTTATGAACCAGGAGGTCACGGTTTGATTCCCAGTCAGGGCATATGTCCAGGTTGCGTGCAGGAGGCAGTTGATCAATGATTCTCTCTCATCATGGATGTTTCTATCTCTCTCTCCCTCTCCCTTCCTCTCTGAAATCAATAAAAATATACTAAAAAGCCCTAACCGGTTTGGTTCAGTGGATAGAGCATCAGCCTGCGGACTCAAGGGTCCCAGGTTCAATTCCGGTCAAGGGCATGTACCTTGGTTGCGGGCACATCCCCAGTAGGGAGCGTGCAGGAGGCAGCTGATCGATGTTTCTCTCTCATCGATGTTTCTAACTCTCTATCCCTCTCCCTTCCTCTCTGTAAAAAATCAATAAAATATGTTTAAAAAAAAAATATATATATATATACTAAAAAATTTACATGATCACAAGAACCCTTATACTAACAATCATCGACTTTAAAATCCCTATGGGGCCTCCTCTTTGTCTCCCACTTCAGAGATGATTATTCTGAGTTATTTATCTCTCTCTTTTAAAAAATATATTTTTATTGACTTCAGAGAGGAGAGGGAAATGGAGATAGAAACGTCAATGATAAGAGAGAATCATTGATCGGCTGCCTCCTGCAAGCCCCCTACTGGGGATCGAGCCTGCAAATCGGACATGTGCCCTTGACTGAAATTGAACCCAGGACCCTTCAGTCTGCAGGCTAATGCTCTATCCACTGAGTCAAACTGGCTAGGGCATGAGTTATTTATCTCTTGCTTTAAAAAATAGTTTTACCACACACCTGTATCCCTAAACACCTATTGCTTTAGTACTGCATAATTTGAACCTTATGTATATAGAATCATATTCCATGTATTCTTCCACAACTTGTTTTTTTTCACCCAACATTTTCCTGAATCATGCATGTTTTCCTTAGATAAAATTCATTTTCACTGTTGGGTAATACTCTGTTCTACTGTTGGAATATGGGTGCTTCTGGCTCTTTACTGTTATGAATAGTACTGGTGGGCACATTCCTGGACTTGTCTTCTGGGGTTTCTTTAGTGTCTATCCTCCAGTTATAGAGTATCAACCTCTTTAACTCCCCCGAAGCATGTTAAGTGCTTCTTATCCTCTATAACACTTAATATTGCTAGAAAGTTTAATTTCTAGCTTCTTTCACTTAGCATGTTTCTGAAGTTAATCCAATTATAGACTATATCAGTATGTCATTCCCTTTTTAAAAAAATACATATTTTTATTGATTTCTAAGAGGAAGGGAAAGGTAGAGAGAGATAGAAACATCAATGGTGAGAAAGAATCACTGATTGGCTGTCTCCTACATGCCCCACACGGGATTGAGCCCGCAATTCAGGCATGTGCCCTGACCAGGAATTGAACCATGACCTCCTGGTTCATAGGTCAATACTCAACCACTGAGCCACATTGGCCAGGCTGTCATTCCTTTTTTATGGTTGAATAATATTTCATTCTATGGATATACATTTTGTTTACCTGTTTATCCCTCAATGAACATTTGGGCTGTTTCCACTTTTTGGCTATTTGAAGTGCTGACACAAACATTTGTGTATAGTATTTGTTAAAGACCTGTTTCTAATTCTTTTGGGTAAATATCTAGGAGTTGAATGTTGAGTCTCATGGTAAGTCTATTAAACTTTCTAAGGAGTTGCCAAACTGTTTTCCACAGTGGCTGCACACACTTTATATTCTCACCACCAATGCATAAGATTCTAATTTTTCGGGGTCCGAGCAAGATGGCGGCATAGGTAAACACCGGAGACTGCTGCTGCAAACAACCACTTCAAAAATACAACTAAAAGACGGAACGGACATCACCCAGAACCACAGGAAGGCTGGCTGAGGAGAGACTCTTCAACTAGAAGGAAAAATAACAGCACACCGAGGCTCAGAGGAGGCGCAGTGTGGAAAATACTCAGGTGCGGAGGTGCGCGCGCAAAGCGGGCTGGTGGCTGAGAGCGCGGTTGTCGTTTTCGGTCAGGGGGGAGTCTCAGACTCTGAGCTCCAGATACGGGCGAATCGCTGGGGACTCGGACCCAAACGGGAGAAGCGGGAGTGTCTGGCATCAGTTGGAAGGCAGCTTTCCCTCCGAGGTTTGCAGCGGTTCCGGGGGTTCTGAGAAGCAGAGCCTCTGGGAACAGGACTGAGGGCACCATAACGGCTCCCTCCGCCCGCCCTGTTGAGCCCGCCCCGCCCAAGCCCTGCGCAGAGCCATTTGCCGGATCGCCTCAGGCAAAGGCTAGATTAGCACCTCCCCAGAGGACAGAAGTTTTCCGCGGCAGACACAGCTGATTCACACAGCCAGTCGGCCTGGTGGTCAAATCCCTCTAGTATTAACTACAACAATCAAGGCTCAACTAGAACAAGACTGCGCACAAAGACCACTAGGGGGTGCACCAAGAAAGCATAAAAAATGCGGAGACAAAAAAACATGACAGAAATGGAGGATATAGAGCTAAAAATCGCAATTTTGAGGGCTTGCAAAAATGTGCTAGAAGCTGTCAATAAACTTGAGGAGAGAGTCACGAAAACTAATGAGACCCTCGATGCTATGATAAAGAACCAACTAGAAATTAAGCATACACGGACTGAAATAAAGAATATTATACAGACACCCAATAGCAGACCAGAGGAGCACAAGAATCAAGCCAAAGATTTGAAATGCGAAGAAGCAAAAAACACCCAACCGGAAAAGCAAAATGAAAAAAGAATCCGAAAATACGAAGATAGTGTAAGGAGCCTCTGGGACAGCTTCAAGCGTACAAACATCAGAATAATTGGGGTGCCAGAAGATGAGAGACAGCAAGATATTGAAAACCTATTTGAAGAAATAATGGCAGAAAACTTCCCCCACCTGGTGAAAGAAATGGACTTACAGGTCCAAGAAGCGCAGAGAACCCCAAACAAAAGGAATCCAAAGAGGACCACACCAAGACACATCATAATTAAAATGCCAAGAGCAAAAGACAAAGAGAGAATCTTAAAAGCAGCAAGAGAAAGAGACTCAATTACCTACAAGGGAATACCCATACGACTGTCAGCTGATTTCTCAACAGAAACTTTGCAGGCCAGAAGGGAATGGCAAGAAATATTCAAAGTGATGAATACCAAGAACCTACAACCAAGATTACTTTATCCAGCAAAGCTATCATTCAGAATTGAAGGTCAGATAAAGAGCTTCACAGATAAGGAAAAGCTAAAGGAGTTCATCACCACTAAACCAGTATTATACGAAATGCTGAAAGGTATCCTTTAAGAAGAGGAAGAAGAAAAAGGTAAAGATACAAATTGTGAACAACAAACATGCATCTATCAACAAGTGAATCTAAGAATCAAGTGAATAAATAATCTGATGTACAGAATGAACTGGTGATTATAATGAATCAGGGACATAGAAAGGGAATGGACTGACTATTCTTGGGGGGGAAAGGGGAATGGGAGATGCGGGAAGAGACTGGACAAAAATCGTGCACCTATGGATGAGGACAGTGGGTGGGGAGTGAGGGCGGAGGGTGGGGCGGGAACTGGGAGGAGGGGAGTTATGGGGGGGGGGAAAAAGAGGAACAAATGTAATCTGAACAATAAAGATTTAATAAAAAAAAAAAGATTCCAATTTTTCTACATTTTTGTCAACATGTTATTTCCTCCTTTTTTTGGATTATAGATATCCTGGTGGGTGTGAAATGGTATCTCATTGTAGTTTTTACATTTCCCTAATGACTAATGATATTGAGCATCTTTTTATGTGCTTACTGGCTATTTGTGCATTTTAAAAGAAATATCTATTCAAGTCCACTTATTGTCTTATTGTTGAGTTATATTAAGAATTCTTTATATATTCTAGAGACTAGACCTTATCTGTTTTTAACTTTATTTTATTATTCTTTTTTTAATGTATTTCTCCTTATTGATTTGAGAGAGGAAGGGAAAGGGAGAGAGAGATAGAAACATCAGTGATGAGAGAGAATCATGGATAGGCTGCCTCCTGCATGCCCCCTACTGGGGATGGAGCCTGCAACATAGGCATGTGCCCCTGGCCGGAATTGAACCTGGGACCCTTCAGTCCGTAGGCCGACACTCTATCCACTGATCCAAACCGGCTAGGGCTTTATTTGAACTTTTAATCCACAAGCTTATCAATTCCTACTTTTAAATTCACCAGTTTATTAAAATTTATCAGTTTATTAGGTCCATTTTTTTTCTAATAATTTTTTATTTTTGTGTATTTCAAAATATATATTTAGATGCATGAAGATTCATAAGTTATAAGCTTTAAGCAGAATATTGTGTAATTATGCAATCCCTCTGCTTTTCTCCTTTTAATGGTTTTTCTTTTGATTCCTACTTTGCATAATATCAGCATTAAAAATAATGATACTGCCATATTTATTTATTTTTAAAATATATTTCTATTGATTTCAGAGAGGACGGGAGAGGGTGAGAGAAACATTAATGATGAGGGAGAATCATTAACTGGCTGCCTCCTACACGCGTCCCATTGGGGATCGATCCAAAACCTGCGCATGTGCCCTGACCAGGAATGGAACTTTTACCTCCTTGGTTCATAGGTCGACGCTCAACCACTGAGCCATACTGGCCAAGCTGTTTTTTCCTTTAAAAGCAGGCACTCCATTTAACTCTGCCTCCACCCTAAATCTAATTGTCCACACCCCAAATCCAAAATTCCTAAGAATTCCGCAAGGATTCTGCAACATATTGTCTCACCTGAACCAATCTAGACTTTTTGAAGTCTAGATTGTGTTTCTTAAACTTTTCCAACTATGAATTATGATGGGAAAGCTTATATCTCATAGTCATCAATTCTACCTGGTGCTGGAGGGGTGTTGTGAGGAAGCTAAATCATTGCTCCACTGTTGACTACATGACTCATACCTTTTTATAGTAGAGAAGAAATATAATGCATAAACTGGGAAAAAGTGGGTGAATGATCTAGATGCCAAATTATAAACTCCTTCAATGAGGATGACCTAAACCAAGGGGAAAACAAAATCCAACTGGTTAGTCTTTTAAACTTTTTTTGGTTAATCCTCTCCCAAGGATATTTTTTCCATTGATTTTCAGAAAGTGAAAGGGGGGGAGGGGATGGAGAGAGAGGGATGGAGAGAGAGAGAGAGAGAGAGAAAGAGAGGGAGAGAGAGAGAGAGAGAGAGAGAGAGAGAGAGAGAGAGAGAAAGACCAACGTGAGAGATGCACCAATGGGCTGCCTCCTGCAAGGCTGGGCTTGGGTCTTCAACCCTTGACTGGGAATTGAACCCGGACCCTTCTGTCCAAGGGCCAGTGTGCTTAACCACCAAGCCAAATCGGCCAGGGCCCAACGGTTAGTTGTGAGAAAATGGGAACATCATGGAAACCCTGAGCAATCAAGATTAAAAAAGAATTCATATCTCCCTTCATGCTAGCCAGGAATCTAAGCTATGTGAGTAGCTCTCTATTTTCATTTTATATCAATCTCAGACCATCTGGAGGGTTTTCATGCAGAGTGCACAGACCAAATTTTGACAGTTAGTGAACTATATGAACAAAAAACACTGGCATACAGTAGGTGGTCAATAACTGATAAACAGCCATGTTCACTTACTTCTGAATATCTCCAGTATTTGTTTGTTTATTTTTACTTTTCTTTTGCAACTTGCTTGTGACTGGATCAGATTTTCTGGAATTCATGGGAGAAGCCAAGACTTTTTTCTCACAGAAGTTGTTAATATTAATGCTTAGCTTTCTTGCCAGTTCTTCATCACTTTTTAGCTGTTCTTCCATCTCTCTCCTCCTTTTGCTGCCTGTCTCTTTTCTTCTTCCTCCACCTCTGCCAATAATTTCTGTATGTACTCTTCACTGGCTTTGTTTTCTTCTTCCTCACTGGCCAGTCACTCTGCCTCCACCTTGCTTATCTCCTCTTTATATTCTCTTCTCAATTCTCCAGGTTTACTTAACAGGTAAACTGGCTGATTGTCATCAACGGTGTCTTCTAATTCTTGCCCAGAGGCTCTAAGCTTTCATTCCTTTGGATAGTGTTTCTGAATTATCTCCCACAGTTCCTTATTGATGGATCAGATTTTCTGGAATTCATGGGAGAAGCCAAGACTTTTTTCTCACAGAAGTTGTTCTTTAACAACAGAAAAAGCATAAAAGACATTATTAAAATAAATTTATAATAAAATAAGCTATTAACTAACTCAGAATTCACAATAGAATTTTTCAGGAATTATGCTTACATTTAAATTCTACACACTCTTTGAATAACATTATGTAAAAATTAGTATAAACAAGATTAAGTCCAAAAACAAAGCAAAAGAGATTAAGTTCATCCAAGTTGGTCTAAATTAATTGTATTTTTACTCTACATGAAAGAGCACAAAAGGAATAATGATACTCTTATTAGCTGATAATTTGTTATTATTTCTAATGAGAAGTTTACATAACTACCTTTATCTATAGGGGTAAATTCAAAGAGGTATAGATATACCTGGAATAAAAGTTAGTTTTATGTAAAAGTAATTTAACTTGGGGACTTACAGGCATACCAATAAATACCATGAATTTTTACTTGCTGTAGTCTCGTAAGTTTCTTACCACATTATTGGAAAAATGAATATAACTGGCAATGACAGACATTTGGCCTTGGACCACCCAACAACTTTCACAAGCAAGCCAAAAATTATTCTAAAATATCAATAAATCTACTCTATAATCCCACATGAAAACAAGGATTAGAATAACAGACTCTTAAAAGACAGCTAAAGATTCTCCTCTTTGAA